TTATATTGATTGTTCACTGACTTTTTTCCCCAGCGGCAGAAGTTAGCGGTCGGTACTGTATTATACGATTCAAACTTTAAAGCGGCCCGTGGTTGTCTGCGACCGCAAGTGTGAGATGGCAGATGCCAAACGGCGGGAACACTGTCCTTGGAAGAAAGTGCATATAGTTATGCGCCCCGCTCGCGCATCACTTTACATTTTTTGTAATATGAAAAGGTGGAAACGAGCGAGAGGACGTAGCGTTCAAAATTGGGAGCGTCTATAAAGTTTGGATAGCCCTATACTGTTGTACCGTAACGCTTCGTGACCCATTCGATTTAAGGGTCCAATGGACACCGAGAAATTTTATTGCTTTTTTTAAAAAAACATAAATAACACTGTCATCGTTGTCAGTGGTGATTTATTTTTATTTTTTGTGACAATGCATATTTTTTGTTATTTCAATCAATGTCATTTTTAATTAAAGTTATTTTATTGAATAACTAAAATATCATTTGCAATCTTTATTTATTTGTTGCCATCATACTTGGGGAGATATGCCACAATCGCCACGCTTGGCAGGCGGGTTGGCGATCGCAGTGTTTGCTACCGTTTTTCATAAGGGACGCTGCTGCCCGTCCTCCGGTGATCTGGGCGCAATTTAACCACCCAGGTCGACGCAGCGTGGGCAGGCCTCCCGCAAGATGGAGCGATGACCTGGTCAAAGTTTCGGGAGCGTCCTGGATGGTGGAGGTGGCACAAGACCGGTAATCGTGGCGATCTTTGAGGTAGGCCTATGCCGAGCAGTGGGCGTCTCATGGCTGACAGGAAAGAAGGAAGGATTTAGTTGTTAAGAAAATTACCTTTTTTATTTTAATTGTATTTAATATATTTATAACTGGCATAACTTTGTTAGTAGCTTTGTTCTGAAATAGACTAAATGAACCGTGTTGGTTAAAATTTGGCGACGCTCCAGCTTACTTAAACTTTGTTAATGTAGTAATATAATAGTTTATAAACGAAACAGGGTTATCAAGTATTAAACTTATGACCTTGAAAATTAAAAAAAATATTATAATATAACAAAATGATCCTGGATTACAAAATATATAACATTTATTAAAATAATCAAATGTTTCTTGGATCTTTAAAAAAAACGACAACATAATCAACTTCGTTCCTATGAAATCATAACCAGATTATTAATTTGGATTTGTTTGTATTTTTAATAATTAGAGATTCCTTTAACCTTGTAATTAACTTACTTTGATAAAATACATTTAATTAGACTAGGCTATATAATTTTTTACGATAATATTTTAAAAATAAAATTTAACTTAACAAAAAAACAGTAGTCCAATAATCGATAATGTACGATGCCGTTGTAAACTTCTAATCAACATGAAATAAGATTAATAGATTATATTATAATACCTAAGTAATATTTATATTTACATGAATCAAATTACTCAACCTAGTCTAAGAGCTTTTCTCCAACAAGTCACCGAATAATGTCCTAATCTTATATTGAGTGGCAATTTAAACGTCAATCAATCGACTCAAAGTGAGGACTCCTTTGTTAACGAAATTGGACAATAACTGTGATTGACTCGCATATCGCGCTGTCGTAACCACTCAGAAGTTCAGATTATGAAGTATAGATAATAAGAACGTTTGCTCAATACATACCAAATATGGAGACTAAAATGCTTTATGCGTAAATGGGTAACCTTCATTTGTTGCTACGAATGTATTGGGTAACGAAGAATGAACAATATCGCATGCTGAAGAATCAAGCTGATTTTTTAAGTCATTGATGTTAAGCCTCTCACTTGCTGACTATAAGTGTAACCATGAAATGCACTAAAAACACTTGTATTATACATTTATGTTTTTTCGAAGAGAAGGATGGATTACAATCATCATTAGCTGACTATACGTCCCCACTGAGAGGAATGGAGTAGGGTAGGCACCCTAAGTCAGAGTTGTCTAGGCTCTAGGCCATAGTCAACTACGTTAGCCCATGAGTTACAATATTTGATACAAATGTTTTTAAATTCCTTAATAGTTAGTTAAACTACACAATGTTAAACAAGGATTTTCTTTGAAAAATAAATTATAATATTATTATACTTAACATAAATATAAATAACATATTAATATAAAGTGAGTAGATATTTATTATATTAAACTTCCTTAAATATCAAGTTGATATGCAATTAAAGTACAAGATCATCGAAATCTGAAGCAATTAATCTATACACTACCAACCGTTTGAACAGCTTTTACACAGTGTGGAAATTTTAAACTGTTCTCTAATACTTTTCGAGAGAAAGTTTCAACCAACTGAAGTTTATCCATCCTCAAACGGATTAAATCCGACTAATAAGTGTTGCTAAAGTTTCTTTAGAAGGTTCTACTTTGATCCATCTTGAAACTCTATCTTGTGCAATTTGTTTGCACTAAAATTATATATAAATGGATTATACATAACCGCAGAGAACATATGAAACAAATTAATAAAAACATAACGTTTATTTAACCGAAAAAGAAAATTCTAATCATTTCAAATTGCTTCCCGCTTACTCAACTCTATTTATGCAAACAACATTAACTTTATCGTATTTCGTTTTATAATCTAAACTATACTGAAATAATCAAGATAATGATGTAACGACATATTTGCTTAGTTGTATAAGTCAAACGTAATTATTGCCTAGTTAATTTTACGACGTTGATTCGAAATTCTCTCATCAATTATAACAATGCAGTGGACGAAGAGATCGCTCGTTAAAATTTGCTCCACATAAAATAAAGACAATTACAACTGTGACCAAATTTCAAACAACGAGAGGTTTCCGCGTGTTCGTGTGATCACTATCTTTGTAGGTTGGATATGTTTTGCAATTATTTACCGCCATCTAGTGGCCCAGTTCAGGAATTATTTTAAAACTAGTACATTGTGTGCACCATATTCAGGTATGCTAATGAAACAATATCATAGACAATACAAAAGTTAAGTGACTTGAGGCCGCAACAACATCTATTGCAGGAATGGGCTTACCCGGTGGAATACCTCAATCATACAGAAGACAGTCGTGAGTTGGAAGTTGAATAACTTCTGTGTGGTAACTTTAACTAATGACTTTCGCGTTTGGAGTGATCAGTGTGCGTGCAGGAGTCCTAATTTTAGTCCTCTTTTCCTTCCCGCCCTTTTCTTAGTAGATAAGGATGGAAGGGAAACAGCTTCTTAATTTTATGCGTCTCCTTCTCCGTCTATTAAAGTTAGGTCACGCTTCTGCAATTGCAGTCTATGGACAGCGGTCGCTTTGCTATTTCGGCGTCATCAAGTTTGCTCGTTTGACATCTTATAAATAGTTCCAACTATTGTCTTACAAAACGTGCGTTTAGCTTTAAAACTACAATGTAAACATGTTTAAAATTATATAAAGTTTCGTATAAGACATATTATCTCAATTAATCTGCATTGAACAAAACTAAATAAAAATTCAAACATTGTCCTATTGAATTCATTTTCACCAGGAGATAGCGAAACAAAAGAAGCAGTCCAATGTGTATCCACGGCCCTAGTGAATTGAAATACAATCTATCATTGTAATATAACCTTTACTGTAATGGAATAAGTATCACATTCCCAGGAAACATTCACCATAGTGACCTCTTATTGGTAACAATGCGACCAATGTTAATTTGCGCCTGCATTTGAAACGTTGTGCAGTATTGTCAATTTGTACAGATATAAATGTTAATTGTTATACATTTTAACTTATTTTCAAACTGTAAACATAAGTTTGTCGACCTGTATAGTCTCATAAGGACTTTCTCTGGCACGAATCGGGTACAATTAACGTGGCTAATTAGAGATGCGTCGTGTGGACATTGTCTGTGGTACGGCTGTTGCTACACAGAATTATAGCAATGGTGACGTGACAAATATACTCTCTTTGTTGTCATACAATGTATTTGCAGATTGTGAAAGAAGAATGTTTTTTTATAAATATTAAAGAAAGCGACAACAAGCGGCGACTGAAAGAATGTAGTAAAAGCGAAAGCTCAGTAAAGAAATGTAACGCTATGTCGCTAACGTCTGATGAGTGTGCGTCCCGGAGGCCTAATTTAATCCTCTTTCCCTTCCCACCCTTTTTCTTATAAGGAAACGATGGGAAGTGGAAGTGGACTTTCCGGATGAGAGGATGCATGGAAAGGGAAGATATTTTCTTTCTGTGCATCCTTTCCTCCGTCGATTAAAGGTAGGCAACGCATATGCAATTGCGTATGTCTATGGGCAACGGTCACTTCGCTGTTTCAGCGAAAAAAAGATGTTAAGCTTTTTAAGGTTCCGTATCTCGAAAGGAAAAAAACGGAACCCTTATGGGATCACTTTGTTGTCCGTCAGTCTGGCGACCCTTTTTTCACCATTACACGATCTAGAAGTCCCGAAAACTTCAATGCTCTTCAACCTATTACAACTAAAAAATTCTAACGAATATTACATCACGGAAGATTTATTATATCTCTTATGTTTATTTTATTTCACTTAGGTAAAAAATGATAGCAATCTTTATCCACGTTTTGAACTTTTACATTCAAAACGTGAGACACTAAGATCTAAAGAAATAGAAAACATATATCATCCTACAATACGAGTACAAATGTTAGATAACCACAATTTTGATCACCTCGGTGTTCCCGCCGCTCGTTTGCTTCTCTCTCTTATAAAAAAAAAATATTAGGAAGGCTATGCCTTTAAATTGTGTACAAATGAATAATTCCGGCTAATTCTAAGACAAGACGAAAATTTTAAAAATAATGTTATTACTTATTATAATACTAAGTTATTGAATTATAACCTTTTTAATATTGCAATACTAGGCATAAAATTTAGACATAAAAGTTTTTTTTTTATTTACATATTGATTAAATCAATGTCAAGCTTTTTATACTGTCGATAACTTTTTTATTAAATGGTTTTGATTTAAATATATACATCCATAACATTTATGAATATATAGTTAAAATAAATAATACAAGGAATACATAAAAACTATTTATATATTATATATCAATTATTTTGTAAGCTTGAAGCAATTACATAACAAAAGGTAAGATAATACATTAAAGATATAATGAAATGTCAATTCTACGTATTTTGTTTTACATTGATACAAATTTCCATTAAATTGTATAATAATTTAGGACCCATTAAAAACAAACGATTACTTTAAACTAGCTTTTGTACGCGACTTATGCCGCACAGAATTGAAAAAAAATGTAAACAGTATATGCGCTACTAGTTCTCGCCCGCGACTCCGTCTGCTTGAAATTAAAAAAAAACTTTTTAGCTTATGTGTTTTTCCAGACGATGTTCTACGTCTATGCCAAATTTCAGCGATATCCATCAAGCCGTTCTGGAGATACTTTCAAAAAAACATCCATCCATCCATCTAAACATTCGTATTTATAATATCAGCAAGATAAGATTATTATACAATTGCATTTCTAATTTAAAATGTCATGACTCCGGAACTAACTTGGCATCCAGTACTCGGTTCGCCATAAACTTTCATTGTATTGTTTTCGATGTATTCATAAGTAAAATTTCACTCTTCTAATATATAAATAATGCATACGACGATTTGTTTGACCATGACCGTAGAAGATATGTCTTGAATACGAAATGCAGGACAGTTCCAAATAATTTCTCCTGCACACACGCTTTGCGGATATTACCTTTACTAAAAAACACGTGGTACATTGACTCATAACTTATTATTATTATAAACCGAAAGTTTAGATGGATGGATGTTTGTTAGAAGATATCTCCAGTACGGCTGAACGGATATCGATGAAATTTGGCGTACATATAGAACATAATCTGGAAGATCACATGGGCTACTAAGTTTTTTTTTTATTCCGCGAGGACGGAGTCGCGGACTACAGCTAGTTTTATATAAATTATCTCTAATAATATTTTTTTTAAGTTTTAAAATTATTGTCTTTGTACATTTTTCACTGGAATATGTTTTTAAATTACCGATTATTTGATAAAATTGGATTATTCACATAGATATGGCAACAACCGATCGTTTTGCTTATGCAAAATATAAAGAGCTGACTAATTAAACAAAATCATTAGCTTAGCCAAATTACAAACTAATTCGTGTTCACAAAACATGTACAGTCTTCGCAATATCAACGTAATTATATTTTCCTTTTCACAGGACTTTTGTGAGTGACGCTTTGAAATGTCCTCAGACAAAGGTAGAGGAAGTTCTGTGTAAGTTTACTTTGAAAATAACTCAACAATACAGTCTACGTATTTTTCTTTAATTAAATAATATTGTGTTTTCAGCGCGGAGGAGAAGCGACCCTCGATGTGGGAGGAGTTGATGAGGAAATTTATTGAAGAGCACAAAGTAGAATGCAAGTTAGTTTGAATTTAATTTAATGTATTTTAATGAAATTATAATACTACAAGTTCATTAGCTACTAAAGCCTTATAGAAAATACAAGACAAGCGAAATGTAACCTAGTTTCTATATCATTATGGCGTCCTTTTGCAACAATCTCTGGTTACAAATTTATAGTTTCATTTCATGTTTTAAAACTATACCAAATATCTCTTAATTTATGAAACCAAACTCATTTATACTATACTACTCGTCGCCTGCGACTCCGTCCGCGCTGAATTTAAAATTTCTTAAGTAGTCTATATGCTCTTCCAGATTATGTTCTATATCTATGTCAAATTTCCGTCAAAAAAGCCGTTCACATTTATAATATTAGTAAGATTTAATATACCGATAAAATTCTACATTCATGTTGTAATACAGGGCGGTGTCAGTTGATATCCCGCGGGTGACACGCTCCGCCAAGGAGTTCCCAACAGGTTCCCGCTACGAGGGCACATGGGACGTGCTCGGCATGAGCGGCTACGGACTCTACACCTTCCCCAACGGTAATACTATTCTACAACTCAGCAACTCACAACTTGAACTCGCTCTTTGAAACTCAATTTACAAAGTTTGTGGTGTTGAAACTTTTTGTGACCGCAACTCTGAAAGAGAAACTCTACGCTCGGTTTTTTAAATGACTCGTTAAGCTGTTTTTAAATAATACTTTGGGTCAATTTTGTCGTGATATAAAACAAGTTTTCGATTGGATGCAAAAGTGAGTTGGTGCATCCAATTCATCAAAGACTAACCGTAAGCTTCTGAAATCAAAATCTATATATAAAACATATCGTCATCCCCGTCATTATATTTAACAAAACAGAGAAGAACATGTATTAAACATTTTCGTCTCGAAAATCCACTGTTACATATGTAGATCATTCATGAATCAAAAATTATAAAAACCACAAAAACTGTGTTTGTATTGAAGACAATATTTAATTTACGATTATATATACTATTTTCATAACAATAACATCGTAAATCGTTGATTTTAAGAGAAAAAAACAAATCTAATATTCTTATTTGAAACAAGAAAAGAAACTTCATTTCCTCTACCGTTGACATTTTTAATGAACGTCAGGATCAGCATTATGAAAGAATATTTATGCATAATTTGATATCTCAATTAGGAACGTCTAAAACATTTTTGAGACGGTTTTGTTTTTTTTTTGCATCTTTATTTGAAATATCATCGTTTTAATATATATAATATAAATAAATAAATAATCGATAAACCGAGTTCAACGAAGCTTGTAACGATGTTAAAATTATTCAAAGCACAAGGGTGACCTTACGTAACTTATATCTGCCCTAATTAAACTAATCGTTCGGAAACATGTTTCTGCGTGGCATTTGTTGCGGCAAAGGGACCACGTACCCGTGTACCATTTGTTAGACACGGGTGAAATATTTGCCAACTTTGTCGTACATTTTATTAAATATTTAACTCGCTTTTAGATTAATTTGGCCAAGCTTCGGAATTTATATTACTAACAATATAATAAACCTTTGAACTAAAAAAATTGTAATATTTAGTTATTGGAAATTTATAATTAATAAAAGTTTACGAAAATATATACTATACGAACATTACACTTTACAGTAAATTATTTAATAAAAACTGTATAGACATACTAAGTCTATTAATTGTTCCTGAATCCCTTAGTGTATATTTCTCATACTAAACAAAAGGGGACCACTTAATTGCGAAGATTAGTCTTCTAAACGAGACGAGTAAAACGAATCCATACCGATGCAAACGCGCATAAATCACTTTAATGACGAATAAATAAACAAATAAAAGTTTGTAATGATAGACAAATGAAGTATAATTCAATATACTTATTTCTTCACTTAAACTTGAACGATAATTGTATTTCCTTAGGTGTAATCTACGAAGGCGAGTTTGAAGACGGTATGTTCCACGGTCGTGGTGAGCTTCGTTATCCGTGCGGAGCGGTCTTGTACGGCAAATGGACGCGCGGTGTGTTGGGAGAGAAGACACTCGCGTTTGCCGATGGTTTGGAATACGATGAAGACTTATGGCCTTACTGCGTTATGCCTGACCGAAGGTATTCCTCATAGATATGCTTTTATATATGTATCTCCAGAACGGCTGCATAAATCTCGATCAAATTTGGCATACATATAGAACATAATGTGGTGGAACATATAGGCTACATTTTTTTTTAATTTTGCGTGGATGGAGTCGCTGGCGATACATAATACAACATATTTACAATAAAAACTACATGAAATTACGACATCCAATGTTAGAGTCGGACTTTTATTTCATTCTCAAGAGTGTGATACACATACACAAGATGTTTTTGTACACCGTATTAGCAGTAGATTTCGCTTTAAAACTTGTACTTAATATTTGTATGCGAAAAGAAGTCATAATACACACATATTTTGCAATTTTTAGAAGCATGAATATGTCGTCAATCGTTTATTTAAAGGCCTTATTATTTAATAAATTAAATCATAATAACACCTTATTCCAGTGTATTACGGATATCGACATCTATGTAAATTGGCTCTCCGAACGACAATATAATGTTTATAGTTGTATATAACCTAAACAACTCAACATCTGGAAGTATTATTATACTTGGCTCAGCGAGTTTCAATGTCATAACAAATTTTAAACTCAAGCTAAAGACAAATCGACGGAGTAACATAAGCAACCGGGCTCCCAGTAGCCTGCTGAATTATGAACACGCTACTCTATTGCAAGGAGTGCGGTCCTGTCACAATTATAAATAGCCCCCCGCCCGCCTCGGTCTCTGGTGTCTACTGAAATATGAAAGGAAATATAAAATCGTCTGTTTCTCAGAGCACGTTCATTTGTAACGTAAATAAAATGTTACCTCAAAATTACTCTCTCGCCACGTGACAGACAGAAATGAAATATTGCGGACCTTCGCCGCACCTCTTACGACCTCTAATTGGTCTGTCTTCTTTTCGTTATTTATGCATTGGTATACAAAGCCTCGAACGGTATGGATTTACGAGTACATGTGCATTCCAAAGTGTATTCGAGACTCGTTTAAATGCAATTTTTAGGTTATTAACCAAACCACTTATACAATAAACGTTTAAAATAAAGCGATACTTTGTCCTGTGTATTTTTTATGTCGATTAAGCTGTCTGTTCAGTCACCCATCAGTAATAATAATATTATTGTAATCTCCAGTATGATTTCTAACTTTTTAAATATTCTGTCTAATAGATTCACCATAGAACACAATAAAGGATTGAAACCAGCCGGTGAATCGTACACAACGCCCGATCAGCCTCCGCGGGAGATACCAAAAGGATTTTACGACACAGGAGACGGATTCTACGATCCTGATACTAAAGTTGTCTACAAAGTCGATGACCCCACTTCTATTGTCAGGTACGAGGATGTATTATTTCCTTTAATCTCTTTCGAGATAAGAATACACAATCTTTCATTTAAATAGTTGTGTCATGTGATCATTTTATTGTAGAAGAATAAAAAGCTAAGCTAATATTTTGAAATAGGTATAATTTTATATTTATTTCAAATAGCCATAGATTATCCTAATAACCTATCTTTCAGATACCCATGTGAGGTGGAACAGAAATGGATCTTGGAGAACTGTCGCACCAACCCAGAGTCGACAGTTGGTCCACGAGAAGACCTGTATGAGGAATGGGTCCTGCCTATGATTTACGTGCCCACGATGCAGTCCTCTATGTCCATGTCTATGGCGTCTTTTTCCTATCGGTACAGCACGGACTACGGACATGATTCCGACTCTGTAAGACATAAGATGACTTAGTTTATTACAGAACTTTGTTGGTGAACTGGTTTACAATCGAATACAGCATAGATTTTTAAGTCAACTATAGTGCTATTCAAACTGTATGACGGCTCGAAATATAGTTTGAGACGTTGCACTGAAGACAATTTACAGCACTAAGAAGACTTAAACGACGGGATGAGAATGTAGACTAACGCTAGTGTGAGCGTGCGCTTTTCTTTACCCGCAGTAGGCCTACCTAGAATTTAATTCCGCCGATATGAGCCCACAATTAACCACGAGCCGTAATAAAGTTTGAATCTTGTTATACCAAATAATGTTGGCGAAAAGTGAATAGCGCTAACTAGTATTAAGTACCAATATGTTCTACGATGTGATTTTGTTTATATTACAAATAATGTCTTACAACAGGGTGATGCAAATCAAGTCAACGAGAAATCTTCCAGTTCCACTTCTACATCTGCTTAAGTTTTATTAGTTTTAAATGTTTATTTTAATTGCATGCTATGCTATTTGTTGTTACTATGTTGTATATGGGTCATCAATTTTGTCACATTATATGTGTACAAAACTGTTAACCTAATTTTTAATTTATTTATTATTTTTTTCTTCTAGCTAAACCCTAAATAACTTATGTTGAAGATTAGAAGTTATTTATTTCATAATTAATAAAACATAATTTAAAAACTGGCAGTTTTTTCCTAATACTCTTAATATTTGTCCAAATTAATAAAAATTATTCACAGGATCGCTACAGGGGCCACGTATGGTTTTTTGGGGAAAAGTCTTTGCAAGATGTTACTGCGAAGCCAAGCGTCAGATTCGCCTCTGCCTCGGCAAAAGAATAAGAAACATATGGATACTTTGTGATTTATACATTCGTCATTTTTTTTAGAAATGTTTACCATTTTATCTTTTGTAATTTTTACTTTTAATAATGATATAACTCTCTGAAACTGTCTTCTTTTCCTATTCGCAAAGATAGAAAAAAAAATTTAGAACAGATTTCGAATTAAATGAAAGAATAATGTCTTTCGCCACAACCTACCACAAAAAGGAACCTACATTACAAAACTGCCGTGAATTAAATACATTAATCTCTACTAAACGATTTACTAAAAACTTCAGATCTGTCAGCGACTGTATAGTGGGTAGATTCTAATACATTCATGAGCCTTGTTTCTTCATATAGTGTCCTATGAATAAATTAGAAAATAAATTAAGTCAGGTACAAACTTCGTGTTCCCACGGTGCACAATGTGATTTGTGAATAACTTATGTAACGTTGGAGAGAGGATCGGAGCTACAGCCCTTAGGATAGTTACAGAAAAGTAAATATGGTGTATGATAGTAATGAGGCTTTCGTTTTGATGAGAAGGTCATCTTTTGTGTTTAAAATTAATGCATTTGATAGTATAATCTTGAAAATGGAAATGCCCCTCTGTATTGTTAGTGACAACACCGAGGATCATATCAACAAAAGGCCGCTGACCTTTTTCGATGCACTTTTATGCGCCGGATGAACATTTAACAGCAAAAAACTTAACCTTTTTGCAAGAGTCAAAATGTAAAAAATTAAATCTATTTGAATAAGATTACTATAGAAGTGGTGTGGTGGAATGCAAAATTGATAATAAACGAAAACATAAATGTCACCAAGACATTAACAACCGAAATGTTGCCCGATAGGATATTTTAAAAACATAACATGTCATTTTAATAAACATTTGTGGAAAACTCAATTTTAATTACGTTGGTAAGATCCTAAAAACCTAAAATATTATAATGTTAGTTTAAATTCCATGGATTTCATTTAGATTACAATAGAGCAATTAATTTAATGTGTAGAATGCTAGAATTAAAAAGCCGCTTTGAGTACATGAAGTGAAACATCTTATAAAAGGGTAACATTTTGTATTTGTAAAGTTATGTTTTGAGGTGAAAAAAAAGAAAAGCATGGATGATAAATGTCGTGCTCGTGCTAAGTAATGGACGATGTCGATAGCTTTTGCTTAAATATTTTTTTTCAATGAGTTAAAGTCTATTGCCTTCCAAGTTATCCATTTATAAAATTAGCTTAGTTTCTGCTTAAAATTATGAAGTAAATAATATCTTAGAAAATATAAAATAGTAGTAAAACCGCATAGCGTAAGGTTAAAGTTATCATTTAAAACATTTTTCATACTTTTATTTGTTACTTATATACGGACACATATAATGTTAGCAAAATGAAGTGCCACTACGATGTATTGTGTATAACGAAGGAGGCAACCTCGTCTGAAATAAAGAAGGCATATCGTCAACTTGCATTACAATGGCATCCAGACAAAAACTTGGACAACCTTCAAGAGGCTAAAGAGCAGTTCCAACTGATTCAGAATGCTTATGAAGTCCTCTCCGATCCGCAGGAGAGAGCTTGGTATGTATAAGCTTGCATGATCTTTGCGAAAATTTGCGCAATTTAGTGACATGTCGATGTATACATAATAAATTATTTTACCGCAATATTGTGCAAGTCTGTCACATTTATTTATGATCTATTGATAATATTGACTTATCTTGTTTCTGCTTAAATTATCTAAATTATTTGAAATGTGTACTGATCTTATTAATATAGTTAAAAATTGTGTTGCAATATAGAACAATAAAATGAAGTTAAAAATATTGTATACTTACTTTGTATTGCAAGTATTTTCTTTCTGTGCATCCTCTCCTCCGTCGATTAAAGGTAGGCAAAGCATATGCAATTGCGTATGTCTATGGGCAACTGTCACTTCGCTATTTCAGCGATTTCAGGTGGCCGCTCGCTCGTTTACCACCTTATGATATAAAAAAAAATTCTATAAATGATCAAACAATAATTCTTATACCATAACAGACTTGTTAAAATTTAAAAATCGGTTATCTTTTATCATAAATATGTGGAATTATTGAATTCAAACAAATTGTTTCTTTCACATTAATTTTTTTATTACCTATGATTTTTATTATGTTCTAGGTATGATAATCATCGAGAACAGCTTCTTAGAGGTGCAGGTAGTTCATATAATGATGACAGTCTTGATGTTTACCCATACTTTAGTCCGTCCTGCTATAAAGGCTTCACTGATGATCCCCAAGGCTTTTATGGAGTGTACTCTGAAGTAAGTATATTGTAACATAAGTTTCCATTGCTGTAAACCTGTTCAAAATTATATTGTTATCTCGTATGTTTTACAATAATCAGGGATAAATGGAAGTCATCTATTCATGTCTGATGTTAAATATAATTATTAAATTCAATAAATTATAAGATTTTTGTTTGCTCTTTAATTTCAGGTATTCTCTAAACTAGCATCTGAAGAAACTGATTTTCTTGATGATCCAGAGGATGTAGCTAAAATTCCTAAATTTGGAAACTCAACTACTCCTTATGAAGATGTTCACGAATTTTATGCCTTTTGGATGGCATTTTCAACCAATAAAAGTGAGTTTTTATTTATAAAAGCACTTACAAATTACATACAAATAAATAAAATTATGTTTACTACAGATTTAATTCTTCAATAATACACACTGTACTTGCTGAAAACATTTGTAAAAGCATGGCGGCAACACTGAGGTGATGATTATTGCCAATGGCAACATTACCATATATGTACCGGTTTAGAAGAAAATAAAAATTCAACACATCAGATCACTCACTAGCACTTTATTCTTGTTACAGGCTATGTATGGTTAGATCAATATGAAATATCCCAAGGTGATAATCGTAGAGTTATTAAATTAATGGAAAAAGAAAACAACAAGATCAGGCAAAAAGCGAGAAAGGAAAGAAATGAAGAAATACGACGTCTTGTGAGTTTTGTACGTCGGAAGGATAAGAGGGTTATTGAACATACAAAATTATTGCAAGCAAAAGTAGAAGAGAATAAAAGAAAGGTAAAAATTATAAGATTTGAACTTTACTCAATTGTCACTTGCATATCTTGTTAGACCCTTGATATACATTTTTCAATTTTTGTAATATTCCATCATTAACTAGTAGTCAACTTTTGTCACGAAATCATAACATATCATAGAAGCTCAAAAACCTAATGGAAACCAAGGATGCTGTATTAGCGATAGCAGCAGGTGCCTGATAACCAACAAAACAAATATTCTATTTTTTTTTTTTTGTTCATCCCTTTACTATAAGAATCTTTTTTCTTTCAGGCAGAACAAGTTCGAAGAGAAAGGATAATGCAGCGGCAGAAAGAAATTGAAGAGGCAAAGAAAAGAGAGGGAGAGTCCTCCTTTCTACAAAGTGAAGACTATCACAAGAAGCTTAGCGAAATTGAATCACTGTTAGCTGAGGAGTTTGGTCTGTCTTCCGATGATGATACTATAAGTGAAGGCGGAATGGAAAGCAGCAATGAAGAGAGCTCCAAGACTGAAGATGTAAATTATTAAAAGTTAATTTAAGTATACAGCTTGCAAGAAATGGAATACTAATCATAATTGGGTTTTTGGGTTTTGAGTTTATTTTTAAATTCTGAGGATATTTAATGGCTTCTTACGAATATATTAAAATTAGAACAATTCTTAGTAAATATTATGTAAATATATCTTTAATACATTTTATCTTGACAGGTTAGTGAACAAGCAAAAGTTCCTGGAAAATCGGCTACTAAATCAAAGACAGTTGTTAAAAATCTTTATTGCTCAGCCTGCAACAAGCTATTTAAAAATATCAATTCATTTGAGAATCATGAAAATAGTAAAAAACACAAAGAGAATGTAGCAAATATGACATTAGAGAATGATATTGATATATCGGACAATGGGGACAATGGTTCTAGCAATGAACAAGATAGCGGAAAGATTAACGGACAAACTGAAGAAGAAGGAGAAAATGTAGGTAATTCAACATCTGACATTGAAGACAATGACATCAGAGAAACATTAAGTGATGATTCAGATAAAGTACAGGTATGTGTTGTTTTTTTTATATATCGAAAGGTGCCAAACGAGCGAGCAACCACCTGAAAACGCTGAAATGCGACGCGACCGTTGTTTTCTCCGTGCCCTTTAAAGGAAGACTAAGTTGATCTTTTACCATATGTACACCATTCATAAAAGATGTAGTGTCAAACAAAAAAAAGTGTTATGTTTTACAAGGTACGAAAATATATCCTTTAGGTGTTATTCCTAATTTATTGTCTTTGTTTTAGGCTTTACCCAAAAGCCAAAAGAAAAAGAAGAATAAAAAGAAGTCATTCATTCCAATGCCCGAGAGTGAAGGGAATGATAGTCATGATGAGATGAGTTTCAATGAAATAGAAGGTCCAGCGCGAAGTAGAAAGGCAAAGAAGTTCAACATGCTTAAAAGCCAAATACAGGCAAAGAAAGAAGCTAATCTAAAGAAAGGATCTCAATCACAAACATCAACAGAAAATTTGTATGAAGTATCAAGTACAACGCCAACAGATGATGCATTGGGCGAAGCGGCATTACCCAGAGATAGGCCTGCGTTACCTAAAATGCAAAGGAATATCAAACCAAAGAAAATGATGGACAGGAAACCAGTTAGAACGAAAACTAGTGAAACAGAGGATTCAAGCACTGCTCTGACTCTCAGGTGTGCCATCTGTCAAACAGATTTCCCTTCTAAAAACAAGTTGTTTGAA